GATGTACCACAGTGGGTCCAGAGCCTGATCCCTGGTCCAGAGAGGGAAAAAAAGTACAATAACAGAGAGTTGACAGGAAAACAGAGGAAACCTTTTGGAGATAGGTAAGGGAATTAAAGAAAAGAGAGAACAAGAAGCATAGGGAGGAAGGGAAATGAGATAAAACTCATCAATATACAATGGATACATTGCCAAGTCCCCAAATGAATGCAACTACTATGAAACACAAACCTGCCGTAGCAGTAAAAATGGCCTTTGAGTAAGGATTCCTTCAGGGTCTGCAGTGAGATAAGAGGTCATTCTACGTGGCCCATCCAGGTACCAGACATTGGCAGACCTCTGTCCAATTTCTATGGGAAGAAAAGGAGGACTATTGAGGTTTCTCTGCATCAACAGGAGGCTATGTTGACAGCTCTAAACCCTTTTCAAGCTTGTCCTTCATCTGTGTGCAAACACCCAGCACTTATATGCCTATTTTTGATATATGAAATGCATATTTATGTACATAAAGGATTCATTTATTGAAAAGGCAGAATCTTAACCATAAAAGTCACCACAACATGTCTTTAATCTGTTATATGTTTTTGAAAGAAAACCGAATCAGAAGAACTTCATGCATTATTTGGTGGACTGTTTTCCATTACTGATCTTATTTTTATAAGCATTTAAAATATTTGAACTATTTCTAATGAAAACTAGGATAGGAAGCATATTTTTTCTTATTCATGAATGAAATATGTTTCATTGCCTAGGTGTGCAGCACTGGAAAACGGTAACTGTCACTTTCGTGAAAACGTTTGTCATGGTCATCCAGGAGGCAAGAAGTGAACACTTCAGGGACTGCTGATTATTAAAAGCTGCTTACAGAGCTAAAATGTGACTCCAGGGACACTTGTTCCTTTGTTTTTTTGTGGGTTTTTTTTTGGTATCATGAAAAGCAACCCTTCTTTGAAACCAATAATCATAATTCTTCAAGGAGTAAAAAAAAACAAGAATTCACTTTAAACTAAATGTCTGCCTAAAAGACACTTACAAATCAGATTTTATTGGAAGTTGCCTATGTTGTACTACTCCACTTATAGTGGATTGCCAAAGTCATTAATAATAAAGTCTGTTTGATGATTAATGGAATTAATTATTGGCCTTCTCAGTGCAGTTACTGTAGCTTGGAGTAACGGCTAACAATGAAAGACTGAAACAAGTCATTAAAACAGTACATTTACTAATACACATTAATTCTACCATACAGAGTCAAAAGAAAAATATTGCGATGGTACTGTCTTCCCCCTTCTCCCTTTTTACACATCCATGAGAAACACTGCTACGGGTGTATTTTATTGTCATTTTCAGAGAGAAATAGGTTGGTACGTTTCAGAAGAGTTACCATTTCTCTCAAACCAGAAATTCAAGTTTTATCATGTTGCTCAAGTAATTCTCTCCTGGTGGAACTATTTGAGGCTAGCCCCTTCACAATGACCCCAAAATTGCTTTAAAGTACAGAGTATTCTGCCTTTCTCAGTTTCAATAGCTAAATGTCTTTACAGACAGTGGTTTTGCAGCCCAGTGGTTTTCATAATGTTTTGATGCAGCGATTTTATGATTGCAAAATAGAATAAAGTAGAGCTGCTAGCCTGGCTAAAAGAGAAGAATGCAGGAGAAGGCACATCTGCATGTCCTCACATGTGATCTCAGGAAGATTCTGACTCTTTCCCTGAATGCCCCTTGGAGATCAGCTTTAAAATCTTCTATTTTATAGGAAATAGTTGCATGCATGGAGAAAAAGATGCATGTGTGTTAGCTTTACATTGCTATAACAAAATACCCAAGATAGAAGGTTTATTTAGCTCATGATCAAGTAGCCGCAGTACTTTGGTGCTCTCGGGGAAGGGGTGCCAGATGGTAATGATGGGAGCTTGGGTTGGGGTAAAACCACTTATGTCATGGGCCAGGAAGCAAGAAAGAGGAAGCTGATGATACTGGGTTCCCACAATCGCCTTCCAAACCATGCCCCCCAGTGACTTAAGGTGCGTCCAGCCCACGGGTCATAAAGGCTCCCAGCACTTCCCTGGACCCTCACGCTGGGGACCAAGCCTTAACATAAGGACCTGTGGAGGACATTCAATCCCTGAACTATAGTACCATGTGCACTTCATCAGTTCATGTATTAATTTTTTTGGCAAGCCCTACCCATTTTACAATTTAAACTAAATGAATATAAGACATATCTAGTGCATGTGTGTGTGTCTGTTAAGTATCCCTTATCTGAAATTCTCACTTCTAGAAATGAGTCAGATTTTAGAGTGCTCTTGAGATTTAAAGTATTTACATATACTTGTTGAGCGCCCTACTTTTGGAAATCGAAAATATAATATCTCCAATATTAAAAAAAAAACAAATAAGCATCATGTAGGCTCTCAATAAGTGCCATATTAAAGAGCACTCTTGATTTCATGTATATATATATATATATATATATAATGTGTGTATATTCATGTATACATTTCATATATACATGATGAATGGTGTAAGAGGTGCAGTAATCGTTGATTTGCCCATTAGCCATTCACTCTGGCATCGTATCATGCCATTTTAAACCATTTGGTTTCCAGTTCTAGTAGTTACCATGTTTCTGTACCACTCATATTGCTTAATCAATAACTCTTGTTTACAGTAGCACTGTAAATGTTATAATTATTTGTCAGACCTTCTTATTATAATATACATTTTGAGCAACAGCAGATTCCTGAAAATATCTTCAATGTCTTAGAATACTTAAGTTCCTTTATTATCTATAATATACAAGTTTATCTCAAGTACAAAAAAAACCCAGTCTATTTTTTGGGTATATATTAAATAAAAATATGTCCAAAAGTTCCAATTAACAGAGATAAGATACTATCTTTTAAACAGAATACCACTAAAACCCTACCTCCTCTGAGTATTTTTTACTTGCAAAGAGTAGCATTCAGAATTAAAGATAACATCTGGAAGTTGGCACCTTCTCAATCAAAATAGTAGAGCTGGTAACCAGAAAATGTAGTTGTCTGGGTCCCTTATTTAAGTAGTTTCTCCAGGAAAATTGCTATTCTAAGGTAGCTTAATGTCCAGGACTTTCTAAAGTTTTAATGGTTAGATTTTAAATTAAAATTATATAGTCTAGCTTATATATTTATGTTAGTTCATGTTTGTATCACATAAATCTCAGATGCATTATTTTTGTTGCTAATGTTTTTGAAAAGGAAATACTTGGCAAATAATCCTATGTCAAAATTCAATGTTTATGTTGGTATTTTCCCTTTAATTTCCTCTTATTTTTATTTTAATTAACTTTGCAAATTCCACTGCTATTTCTGGTTCTTTCTTGCGGGAGAAGTCAGCAAGTTCCATTAAAATTTTGAATGCCATTCTTTGCCTTCATGGTCTTACCAGAAATGAAAAGATGACAGCTATACAACATGTGTATAGTATTCATATTTATATGTTTTTAGTATTTATGTCTGAGTTAATGTTCATCACTGAATGAATCAGAGTTGAATACATATGGAACAAGAACAAAATCATAACTGTTGATGCTGATAATCATGGTGATGTTTTCATGATATGAAAGATTAGAATATTTCTCCATATAACAATACTCCTGGGCCCATAGAGAAAACGTACTCCATGTTTCTTTTTCTCTAGCATTTAGGTTCACAAAAAGTTGAAAATTAATTGATTCATTAAAATATATTGCATTCTAAATTTAGAAACTAAAAAATACTTCTGAAATTATGACAAAAGCACTCTTAAGAATTCACTAGCAATGTGGCTATAATTCTTGTTTTAAAAAGAAGATAAAGAATGTAGCAGGCTAGTGAAGTAATATACATTGTATGTATTTTAGGCCTTACAAACTCTCAGCTGATAGGAAATTATTTCATCTGTTTTACTATTGAAAATATATACAACTTGCCACAAATTAAAATTTTTATTTTCTCACAATTTGACATGGTTCAATGGCCTGAAATTAATTTTGTGGATACTAACGCACTTTATAAAAGGAAGCAAAAATGCTAAAAAGCTTCATATTTATTAATATCTCTGAAAAGTTATTGAAATTAATGCACTAGGCCTAGCTTAGAGTTAGTACTCCATAAATTTTGCTTACTTTTTTAAAAACAATAAAATATAAAAGGGAAAGGAATGCAGGGAAAGAGAAAGGAAGGAAAAAAGGGAGGAAAGAGGGAAGAAGCAAGGGAGGGAGGGACTGGAAGGATTGGAATAAAAGATGTCAAGTGATTCAACTTTTGTTACGTTCATTGCCTTCTTTGATAATTTCTCTACCTATAATTTTTAAGCCTGGCTATTAGTCTTAAAATTTTTTTCAACACAAAATTCACTGTCTCAGCAATTTCCATGTGTACAATACAATACTACGGTCAACTCTGTGCCCACTGACGGAAAACAGAGCCTCAGGACTGGTGTCTACTGTCCACTCACCATGGACTGATTTTCTGTCTTCCCTTCTCCAGCATCTATAAGTCTCTATGAGCCTGACACTTCCGATACTGTATGCAAATGCAATCGTATCATATTTGGCTTTTTGTGACAGGTGTATTTCACTTAGCATAGTATTCCTAAGTTTCACCCATATTGTAGTCTACAACCAGGTTTTTTCTTTGAAAGCCTGAATAATATTCCTCTGCATGTATACGTACCCATTCTCTATCCATTCACCTGACAGTGCTTTAAATTGCTTCTGCCTCTCGGTTCTTGTAAATAACTCTCCAGATAATTTTAAATTCAGGTGGAAATTGTCCGTTGTTCCATCTCCAATCTGGCAACATGGTTACTTTGCTCTACTTTTAAAGTTCTTAATAAAGTTGTGAAAAATATCCACATATTATATATATATATTTTTTATTTGATCCAGGTATGTGTATGGCATTAAGACAGCACTGTTTCATGTGAAATAGCAGTGATTTGATAAATAGTGGAATGCTGTTCATCTGTCATTGCAGGACGAGTCTGCTCCAGCTGACAAACAGTGTAAACCAGAGGCAGCCCAGGCTACTTATTCAGCATCAAATGTTCCAGGCTCACAGGAGGTGCTGTACATCAATGGAAATGGGACCTACAGTTACCATAGTTACAGAGGGCTAGGAGGGGGACTGCTAAATCTCAATGATGCCTCCAGTAGCGGTGAGTCTTTATTATAGACTGTTTTCTGTGTCCATCTGGGGGGTGGTAAATTCTCTAAAACTGAGAGAAGAAAATAGATGTATTGTTATAAGCAATAGTTAGTGTTGATCTGATGTAGACAAGACACTTAAAAGGGTAACGACTGTATCCCTATATGGATATCTCCCTTGTTTGTTGCTGTTTCTAAAGGTAACAGCGCTATTATGCAGTTGAATGATTGCTGTTTCTACTAACAATTTTTTCTCCTAGAGAAATTGCAAATATTTTACCAAACAGCAACACATTCTGCCCCCTGAACTGTGTTGTATTGTTCTTCAAGAATAATAAAATATTTTCTGAATGTTCAAAGCAGCATTTGATTTGGAAAATTTGGGGCACCAGAGAAACTTCATTGGGGATGAAGTGTTCACACTTACAGCTAAGAACATATAAGTGAGAACAACCATGGCTCTCTAGCCAATAGCTTTTCAGTGACAATGGCACACTCTTTCAGCAGGGAGTGAAGGTCCGCATACATTTGATCATGCTTGATAAAGTTGTAGGAATTTCTTGATTTTTATGGTAATACGATTTCCAAATGAGTCAGAGATTTAAATGTTTAATGCAAGGCCATGCATGTTTCAAGGAAAAAAAAATGCCTAGGTGAGTTTCTTATACCTGGATTGTAAGAAAAACATTTGCAATTGTATTTGAAATCCAGGGAAAGATAATTTATACCACACACACACACACACACACACACACACACACACACTGTACTTTTGCATGACAATGAAATACTATAAAAAGTAAAAAAATAAATAAAGCGAGAAATTACTAGTTGTTAATATTACAAAATAGTATAAAGTAATAAAGCCAACACATGAAAGCCTTCAAAATTAAGAAATAATGTACCTAATACCATATTTAAAAGTCAAGAAAGGACTAGGAATGTAGCTCAGCTATAGAGTATGTGCTACATATGTACAAAGCTCCGGGTGCTATCCCTAGCATGAAAATGATAAAAAATATAAACATACAATTTTAAGAAAAGGTAATGCAAGTATCCTCTAAATATATGTAGTATTCCTCATCCTTACTCATTCCAAATTAGAGAAATACAGCTCATTCCCATCGAATTAGCAAAAACAAAACAATACAGAAGACCAGAATGTTTCACAAGTTTGTGAGGGAACAGATACTCTTGTGCAATGCTCATAGAAGTGCAATGTTGGAGAGAAATTTAAATAATATCTAACAAAATTAAACATGTGCCTATCATTTGACCCAGAAATCTTAACAAAACAAAGATACTAATTAAAATATCCATCAGTAAACCGAGCGTAGTGGCACATGCCTGTAATCCCAGCACTCGGGAGGCGGAGGCAGGAGGATCGCTGTGAGTCCGAGACCAGCCTGGGCTACATAGTGAGTTCCAGGGAAGTCACAACTACATAGTGAGACCCTGTCTCAAA